ACTCATGGTGAGAGATATACATGTCAGCCTTGTATAGCAACACAAAACAAGCAACACTAGCTATGACCAGCTATCGTCAATAGGAATCGATGCCATTGCATTCTTAGGCGTAACCTTAGCACCAGTCTATGTCACAATAAGTCGCACGTCAGATATAGAGGAGCGCCCGATATTGCGGAAATGCAGGCTTCAGCCTGGCGCTCAGTTCGGCGCATGTGAAAAATTAGGTTACGCTAGTTGTCCTTTTTGTCTCCATGCATGCAATATGAGCTAAATAGGTAAGGCTTCTCCTCAGTTTCTGCGCATGATGCGTGTCTGAAACCATCACGGTTACCGTCTCAAAGAAGGCATCCAGATGACGCAGGTGCCGAACACATAATCAGTCCACTAAGTGGCTAGTGAGTATTGGTAGTACCTCTCAGTGGATGACTGAATGGTTACCCCGTCTCTGGAATGTGATGGCCTAAGCTAAGTTCAGGACTGTTCTTTCACCCTCGTGAAATGTACGGATTTTGTGCGCATACAATTCCATTCTTCAGCGAACCATGACATCTGCGGTCTGGTGTGCGCTGGCAGTTTTCATGGGTCTGATCCCCTGTCTCTGTATGTACTTGCGCTCCCACTGGGTTTACAGACCGTGTACATAGTTGCCTGGCTAATTTTATCTTCCCTTTTTGATCTAGATAAGTGAATACCTGTTGGTGGGGCTTAGAGACGTGGCGGGAGGCGTGGTGGCGGTGGTTGCTGACCCGGCCTCGTCTTTGTATTCGCAAGGGCTACTCGGCTAGTCGCTCGGTGCTTATCCTACGAAATTGACCGTTCTGAGTGTGGTGACGCGCTTATCAGTGACCTGGGTCAAGCCAGCCACCTGCCCTTTGCCTCATTTCGGGCCTTTTCGACTTTTTATTGACACTAAGAACAGAAGGGGGTGTGGAGCGAGTGGGGTTGATCCGGCGCAAGTCTATGTTACCCATAGTTCAATGCTAGTCATTTTGTTTGCCTGCAGCTTGCTGAAGCCCGTGGTTAACATATTTGAAAGCAACGGTCGTGCTCTCATGTTATACTTCGTTGAGCGACAAAAAATATTGTCTTTGATTAATGTCTCCAACGTCCTAAAAGCTGCCGGATTGTTCGTAGTGATCTATAATCATTAAAATACATAAATTGGTTGTGTTTGGGGATAAACAGAATGTGCGAGCCTTACCATAAGCTAGTAATGGCTTTGTGTTCGAGGCTGAGGTTAAATATTTAACATAGAATGGACGGGAAAAGATTATTTGCATCAGCATCTAAATTGTTCAGGACTATGAGATTGAAGACAATGTTGAATGACTGTGGTTACGTACATGAGGGCAAAAGTTCTAGATTTGAGGACGGCATATGTATAAACCCGGATATTCAGACCTGGGGCGATTGAAAATTCAATAAAGATTCGGATGATGAACCCTTGGAAATTATCACCTGTATTGGCTATTTGGCTATTGGATTTTCAAGGACGCCTCGATTTAAAGGATGCTACCTTTTTTAATAAAAATTCCCATTTTCGTTTCTAACCATGCATATGCAGCCACCTTATTACCAATCGGGAGCTCAAGGTTGTCGGGCTATCCATCCATAAATAAACTGAAAGTGACACTTACTGTACTTGAAAAGAAGTCACGATAATTAACAAAGGGTTTGGGACACTTTTAAAATAAATAAATAATAAATTTTTATATTTTAGGCCCGAAGGGCCTCGTCATTGCAAACTTAGTG